TTTCCCTCAAGATATGAGGAAGTAATGCGCCAACCGCTATTTGGTAATCGATGGATCACGGATCTTAATGGATGTGTTTTCAATAGTTCAAAGTCATCATGGTCCTTGTGGGTGAAAAAGGGGGTTTTAAGAATCAAGGACCTTTGGGATTCCGAAACCAAGAATTGGAAAACAATTGAGAAGTTGAGATTAACTCTACGCTATGCTCAATTCCGTTAGCCTGGAAACGATACTTGAGGTAAGGACCAAAGTTTGAGGAAGGTGACTGGGTAATGGGATTTGATGATCATAATGGACAACTGAGAGGGGGATAAATTGTCCATCTTCTGCCTCAGGGACCCTTAGTGAGTATTCACAAGATGGATAGAGATCACTTTTTGTCACCATGTCCTTTGGACTCAGTAACCTTTTTTCCTTTCTCTCACATCTATCCTATTAGAGTGTTGTTCATTTCGGCAATTTAGGGTTGGAAAGTCTTTCATCCAGAAATGCCTATCCCAGAGTTACCTTTGGATCCAGAAGAATGGCGGTGGAAAACTAGTAAGAAAGGGAAACCGCGATTACTACAAACCTTAACAGTGAAAGCAACCTATAGACTGCTTATACCAAAGGTTGACATCATGGCAGTGGTTCAGGAGAGGTGGGCAAGGCATTTAAACATTGATATAAATCTGATCAAACATATTAAACTTTTCAAAAATATTAGACAACGCCCAGCTAAATTCTCTTTATTACAATGGCAGATCATTCATCGATGTCTGCCCACCGATGATTGGATTGTGGATCACTCCACACTAGAGCAGCAAGGAGTAGCACTGCCTTGGTGTAAAACTTGTCTATCCGTATTTCCAAGTAGAAAAGTGTGTGAAACTATAGAGCATATTTTCCTGCAATGTCGAGGAGCTGTGCTAATTTGGAGGCGCTGGGATTGTGTCTGAAGAGAACTCACAGGATTGGATTGGCCTTGGGAATGGAGGACTATCCTTTTTGGGCATTGGGAGCCCCTTTTGCTCACACCCACCATTTTTCAACTTAATTTCTTTAACATTGGACGCAAAGCTATTCTATGGTCCTTATGGTATAAACGATGTGTGCGTGAGAGAGAAGAGGTGACCCTAGGGGGTGTGGAATGGGGAGAGTACATAATACAGTTTGTCYAAACAGAAATCAGAGCCCATTGGAAAARTACCAAGGAGAAACTGAATAAATTCACAAAAAAAAAAGACATAAGGCAGACAATTCAGAATTTCACAAAAGACTGGCTGGGGGAACCAATAGAGCGGTCCTTGGGGGAGGTAAAATGGCCAGGGGCAGAAGACACAGAGAGACCTCTCAAGAAAGATTTCCAACTTGTCTTCCGAAACTGGTTCACGCTTCCACCTAGAGCTGTTCTCAGGGACCCAATTTTCTTTCCAGATCCATTTCCCCCCTCTGAGCTAGCCTTGGTAGATCTACAATGGTTTGGTCAAGGGGAAAGTTGAAAAATTTTCTAAGGGGGACAGAGTAGCTTGGAAGGATTGATAAATCTGGCAATCCTAGAAAGGATTGAAGAGGTTGTTCTATTTTCCCTTGCTTAAGATTATTGGAATGATACTCGGTCACCCCGGGTAGACTGTGAGGACCCCGGCCTCAATCTTTTTATTGAAAAAAAAAAAAAAAAAAAAATCAATCAATCAATCAATCAATCAATCAATCAAACCTTTTTTTTTCAAGTTTTTTGTTTATTTATTTTTAAATTTTGCATCTTTATTTTTCTAAAACACCTCATACCCTTGCAAAAAACAGAAATTCATTTCTAAAAAATACAGGTGAACTCAGGGACCATATATCTGATGATAAAAAATAACAAAAAAAAAATCCAGTTTTTCTTTATATATATATTTTTATTTTTTTTTAAATCGAATTTAGTTTTTGATTTTTAAAAAATCCTAAACAAAGTCTGATTCCAAAAAAACAAAAATGGGGTTGTAGGGCTTAAAATTCCCTACAACCCCATATTTTGTTTTTTGTTTTTTGCCTATTATTTAATTCAGGAAAAATCTGGTAAACTCGGGTCCGTGGCGCGGACCCGGTAGGCCGCGGAGGCGGCCGTGAATACGTCCGCCCTCCGAGCTCGGCTCCGCGGGTGTTTCATAGCAGTCTGGTTATGGAGATGGTGGGACCGAGTGTGGAGCCTGTTAGGCACAACAACCCCATGGCCGTGGAATTGGCAATCAATCCTGTGTGAAGCTTGGCAGTCGGAACAAACAAGCACTTTCGAAAGGAATATGTTCGCAGTGGGACGCAAAGCAGTCCTTTGGGCAATCTGGTGGAAAAGGTGCACCAAGGAGCTGGAAGAACTCCGTCCTGAAGGGCCGGCTATCATAGAGACAATCAAGCACCAAATCCAGGATTCCAGGCAGAGCTCACAGTGCAATGGGAAAAAATACAAGAAAAAATAACCTTTATGCATTCAAGAACGGAAATCAAGATACAAATACAATCGTTCTGCAAAGACTGGCTGGGAGGGGAGCAAGGGGGCTGGATAGCGGAAATACAGTGGAAAAGGGGGGAGGGAGGGGAGCGGGGGAAAGGAAGAGATAGGGAAAAGATAGAAAGAGACTATCACCTCCACTTTCATGATTGGACCAAGATTGACCCCTCCATCCCGCTGCGGCCCTTCTCAGATTTCCCTGACCCTTTCCCACCGCCTGCAAAATCAATAGTGGAGACCTACTGGTACATAGGTGCCTAAAATAGGCCTGATTGGTTCGATTGCTGTTTTTTCAGTTTTCCCTATTCATTATGCACTAGAGCAGGCAATGCAAAAGGAGAGATAGGGAGGGGGAGGAATTAGTACGTACTAGCAAGATCTGACGCCAGTCTCATGGTGAAGAGATTCCTCTACCCAATTCAGTCAATCCCCAGGACACCAGGGCAATCAATGCTGGCAGGTGTCTCCCTTGGCTCTTTTGATGTTTTTCAGACAGGGTTCAAACTCTCATGTACAAGGGACGCTGGACCCGTTTTCCAGCAGGTGATGCTCCCCACCAATAGATGGAGCCACTCCCCAGGTGCTAGTGGTGTATGCTCTT